GACCACATCTCCCAAGGCATAAAATCTCTTAATTGGCTCACTGTTAAGGAGAGACTTTATTTCAACGATGCTGTAATGGTATTTAAATGTGTAAATAATTTAGTTCCTGAATATCTGGCTAACACGTTTGTCCCACGATCTCGTATTCACAGTAGGGTAACAAGATCATGTAATCTGCTCCACATCCCACGATGCCGCCTGTCCTCTGGGCAACGTGCATTCATGTATCGTGGATGCAAATTGTGGAATAACCTCCCAAAGGACTTAAAAGCAGCTGAGAATGTAAACGCCTTTAAGCTCTGCCTACTGAATGCGCTCCTTAGTGGAAATGTTGCGCAAAGATGAATCGTTTCTATCTTCAATTCTTGTGTAACTTTTGTATTAGTTCACTAGTGTTTTTAACGTGTATTGGCCTTTTGTATTTATATTGTATTGTATTAGCTTTAGATTTACTTATGATGATGAACTTGTAGTTTACTTGTCTTTTTCCTCCCACAATATATACTTCGCTCTACTTCTATGTATTGAGCACTGTTCTACGAAAATCAAGTCACACTTTATATATATATATATATATATATATAAAGTTTAAAAAAATTGCGAGGATTGACAACTTCTGACGTAAAAAATATAAAAAATGTTAATTTTATTTTTTACGTCAGAAGTTGTCCATCCTCACAATTTTTTTAAAACTTTCTACGTTCGTGTTAGCTGTGAGGTTTGGACTGCGAATCTTTATTGATCCTCCTGGCGCGGTGCACCTTTGTTGGCCTGAGAGTTCCATTAACGACTATATATATATATGTATGTATAATAGTAAATAGTAATAATAACAACATATTTATGCAGGATAGCCAATTCAGTTATAAAAAGCTGCTATCGACATGGGTCCTGCTGAGGGGGCCCATCGGCATTACGAAGCGAAATCTGTGTTCTGATTGGCTATCCGAGCATCAAAAGTGGGCCAATTTCGGCCGCAAATACCTCTTGATTAGCCAGCTCAAGATCAAACCTGTTTGTACATTTCGAACCGAGTTTTTGCTCATTTTGATATTGTCTTGAGAATGAGTTCGAACAGCTTTGGCAATAATCCCAAGAATGGCCTACGAGCAGCCCCTCTTTACCAGCGTTGCAAGACGAGCGTTTCTCCGCTAGCGAGAAGATTTGAGACAAGTAAGGGAGAGATTTATTGAGGGTCTAACATAAATACTATCAGTGTTATACCCTTTACAGACTCTTCCTCAGATTGAATTTTTTGCTTTTCATAGATTTGGGCTAGATTCTGGGAAGTTACTAGGGCAAAGGACTATTTTATGGCCTAGATAGGCTTAGATTCAAATATTGGATCCTTTATTTCACTTAACTTTTTCACTTCTAAATTAGAAGTCTGCTATAAGTTGCTTTTTAAGATCGTTTTTCTCTCTTCTTTCTGCCGAAATACTATTGAACTTTATCCGAATTATGTTTTTTTTCATAGACATCGATGAATGTGTCAACCACACCTGTGCCAATGGTGCATCCTGTATAGATGGCGCTAACAACTTCTCATGCAATTGCTTACCGGGGTATACGGGAGAACGATGTGAAAATGGTAAGGCTAGGACCGCTTCTTGACGACTCTCTAGGATCTATTCTCTCTAGATTTCTGCCATTCAGCGTTGACAGAGTAATATATTATACTGCTGGTGGAGGCCATATGCATTACGAAGCAAATATTGTGTTTTGCTTGGCTACCCGAGCCGCACGGGATTCCCCACTATGAACCCGCGCAAGAAAATAAAATTATTTAGAAGTGACTTACAAAGTTTTTAGTTTTCGACAATATAGGCAATGAAAAACATTACAGACTCTCGTGGGTTGACTGGGCTACAAAAATAGTTGGCTTTCTTACCTTTCTCTCGGAAAAAAACAAGCTATCTTGATTTAACGCTTGGTCAATAACGTATATCTTTTGTGCATATTTCAGACTAGATAAGACACAACAACTATTACATCTTTTCAAACCCTCAGCTGTTACCATGCGTTCTTCTAGTGTGACGAGCGCATTTGCAAGTACAAAAGCAGCACCTTCTGCTTCAGTTAAAAGAAGCGTATTTGCCACAAAGCTCTTGATCAATTCAAACACCGAGTCAACTGCTGTACAGCATATAAGCGCCACATCTACCTTTAAGTATTTTACCGTGTCCTCCACAGTGGCTCAACACATTTCCACAACCGTATACCGAGAGAAAACAACAACATCTAAGCCGACTGCAAGGGACTACGAAGAGGGTATTTGTAGATTTGATATTAAAAAGCATTTAGTAGAGAGGTTGATGCTACAGCAAAACTGCAAAAAGTAAACTTGTTTCAGTCTTTGTTCGACCTATTATTATAATTTGTGTTATCATTATTTCATGTACATCTACTATCACTATTACTGCTATATTTCGC